AACCACCTTGCACTTCACCCACAGCTGATGCAAGCACGTGAGGCACCTGACAGCAATGCGCTCCTGGCAACTCTTAACACTAGAACCGTATATAAGTGCGCCATATATGGCGCAGCTTGCCTCGTTCAAAATAAATGTGCAAAAACTGGAAAACGACCAAAAACAAATATTTTAAAATTATGGTAGGTTACAATTGACCCTTTTCAACATATGTAACATCCTAACTTGTTGAAAAGTTAAAAGTTCCACCCACAACAAGCTTGGAAACAAATGCAAGCCGGAATCAGCAGGCTCCAGTTTTGCCCCAGGAATAAGTGCTCCATATATGGCGCACTTAAATTTTTTGGCGGTTTATTTCAAGGGTCTACAAGCATTTTTTTCGCAAACTCCGTTCATGGCGGCCTTTGGGGTGATCAAAGGATCTCGTACACACTCTTACATGTTTGAAAGCTCAAAAACGTGATGCACAAACCTAGCATTGGTTACGTCGAAAACTGCGCCGTGAGAGCCCGATAAGCTTATTTGGTGTTCGGTTCGAACGTATCGGTGCTTTTTGATATGGATATCCTTTGGTGAGTTGTTGCCAACCTATTGTGGAAATAACCGGGCTTTTAAAATGACATTCCTCAAATTTTTAGAGACTCGGCGTGGGCAATTCTAGGCATTTTTCTGCATTTTTGACCATTTGTTAGGGCAAATAATTGACCAAAATAGGCAAAAACAACAGCATTTTCGCAGTTTCAGCCTTGCGGAACTTGAACCTCGGTACCTTAGGTCCAGACCACTGTGTACTAACCCGGTAGACTATCCGAGCGTGCGGTTGGTCGTCAAAATTTAAAATATATACATAACACTACATTCTGCGCGACCAGCCTTTGAATGACGCGTGTTACCTACTTGAAATATCGGCTGAAATTTTTTTCGGGTCGAAATCGAGTGCTAGGGGGGTACTAGGACAGGGTAACGACGTCGGAATCGAAAAAATGTTTAAAACGAGGCCGTGGCAAATTTGCAAACCTTTGAAAAGGAAAGTGCGCCATATATGGCGCATGCGCCATATATGGCGCACTTACGGTTCTAGTGTTAATGTCAACCCTAATCTCACCGGAAGCGATGCTCTCTGCAGTACGCCGCTCTATCTGGCCTAACGCACCGCTGAAATGCTGAAGACTAGCATGAGACTCCATGGTTACCACCCTTCCTTGGCCTACTCTAAGGGGGGCGGACCTCCCTAAGCCCCGTGCGCCTCCACCTACCTCCTGCTACCCGGTCCGATTTTACCGGGCCCTCGAAGTTGCCTTTTGGACTCAACACAGTCTCCCTAAGTCCCTGAGCACCGACCTCGCTCGGTAGGTGCCCGGTCGGTTAGCCTTAAGTCCCGACCGTTTCGACGCGCGGGTGATCGAAAATGTCCGGAAATAGTCGTGGGGGTGGTGACGTGGCGTCCTCTACGGTACATGCAACAGAATTTACCGTCACTGCCGAATCCGGCACGAGCGTTAACGCATTTTCACCGTACGATCCGTCCGGGGCGATTCTGGCCGTCCAGATAAGCCTGAACTTCATTTGGTAGGCCCACGTAGAGTTAAGCTTGGCTCGGATTTGACTTGCAAGGAGAGCCGTCAAGTTTGACGGGTTTCATTTTGCACGTCCAGCTTAGAAGTGCTTTTCTTGCCTTCCATGCATGCGCATAAAGCATTGAATGGAATTAATTAAGTTAAAACACTTTTTTCCACGTTGTCCAAATACCTGTTAGTATTGGCTCCGTGTGGCGACTGGCTCCTGAGCTAGCACAAATTGGCGCGCAAGCAGCTCGAAAAGTTGGAATCATGGCGCAGACTTTGAATCGAGTTGCTTTCTCCTTGTCAAGCAGCCCTGGTCTGACCACATCCGAGGCATGCAGATCTCAAGCTCGCAGCAGAGGTGCCACCTCATATAGCGCACATAGCGTGCATTCCTGCCGCTGCGCTCATGCAGCTTCCCCAACTGTCTTATTTGCAAAGAAAAGCGTGGCCCGGGCAGCTTTCTTTGGGACCTCTATTTCAGGCGAAAAAGTTGGCAATGTTAGGCAAGCTAAGCTCCAGATTGTGAGGGCTGCTGCCGAGGGGGCTACAGAGTTGGAGAAGGGGTCCGAGGGGCCCCCCGTGCAATTGGGGACGGCGGAGCTTCCAGAGGACATCAATCTGGCCAAATTGAAGCAGTTGCTTTATCAGGTGTGTGCTCGTCCACTCGCAGCATTGTCTTGAAAAAGTCTGAAGAAATCAAAGGCTAGATTTGTGTTGATGCAAGATCTGAGGGTCCATGCTTCAGAACCAGCCCAGGCTGTCCTCGGTATGTCTTGGGGCGTTCCTATTCTGATTCTCAACAAAGTTTCTGAAGGTCGCATTTTAGCGAGAGGTTTCGGGCCTGATTGTGAGGCACATTGGCACCGCAATAGCAAACTTTGTCTTTGGACACCCTCGTGGGAAATAATGGCTTCACTAATGAAATGTATGGAGGAACCATCATCAAATTTGACTCGGTCAGGAAGTTAAAGAAGCAGTGCTAACCAGGCCCTTGTTTTTTGAGTGGCTGTGTGTGCGCTGAGACAGACTGCCTGAGTCTTCCCCATACGTGAGCGATGAGCAACTATCTGTTTCTTACTATGGACCTGGAGAACTGGACGCAAAGGCAGCCCTATGCAGTGATGTATCAACATAACGCCCACGCCCAACTTCCTTAGCAGACCAAAGCAACTAGCTTGAAGAGAACTGGGGACGCCTTCATGAAGTGCTGCGCGCCGAAGCTCACAACGACTGCCCGGACACTGATTGCAGATTATTCTGTGGCAGGAGAAGGCTGGGGCTTGTGCGAAATTGCAGCTCCTTTGAAAATCATTGAGGAAGGCTAACTCCTCGTGACTAATGTCTCTGCAGTGGGCAAACAGCATAGTCACATCTTCGGCTCTGCCACTGCCATTGCCCCTCAAGGTAAGCCAGCACCTTAAAGAACCAGTGGTTGCAGAGTTTGATGAGATTATGCGAGTGCTGGCTTTCTGCTTGACCAAGTCCATGGGGTTGTCTCCTGCTGGGTCGTCATTCAGGCTAACTCCGCGTCCTCATTGGGGTCAAGGTTCTTATCTGATTCACTCTCTGGCTCCACCTTCTCTTCTTAGTGTTGGAGAGTATATCTTCTCCTTCTCAGGCTGCTATCATGCGGCAAGTGAGGTTGACATCAGGCGCAGATTTGTGCAGTAGCACGATTTGTGGAAAGCACACAGCAACTTAAAAGTTTACTTGAGCATGGACATCGATGTCGGGGGTGAATCGTACTTCTGCCCAGATTGCAGATTCCACATCCCGTGCCTTCGGGTGGATTATGCTGACAGAACACCTTGTTGACAATTACTTCCCAGCGGTGTCTCAAATGCGTATGTGAAGGCCTGCTTTAGTCTTCACGTTGTGAAAAATAGATGCGTCTCTGATTGTAAACGCTGTCCGAGCTTCGGTTCTAGTCAACAGCCTCTGCAACGGTTGACTTCCGAAATCGTTTCAGCCAAAGGCATCACAAGGACGACGATCTACTGTCAGTTGTTCGACCAGGCAGCGCGGGGGACCAATGATTTTGGCGCTCACGGATGCAACACCTCTGAATTCTCTTGCAGGTTGACCCGCTTGACAATGGCGTACGCCTGGCCTTTATCAGGATCGAGGCAGGCGAGATCAGCGAGTTGTTCCGGATTGATGTGTTGCTCACCCCCAAAAGTGAAGGGGAGCGAAGACCGATGTTTAAGGTCTTCAGGGATGGTCCTTACAAGAACCAGAAGGCTGCCTTTGAGCCGCAAGTAATGAGCAGCCTTTTAGCAGCGTTGAAGAAGTCTGTGCCTTTGAGCCGAGGGGAATAGATTGCACACCCGATCCTGCACACGACTCGTGTTGTTAAGTAGACCATTTTCGGCGAGCTTCCGCGACGCATAGCCAAACAACGCTCCGCGTGTTTGCCGAAGGCCCAACCGCCTTTGGCTTCGAGCAATTGTTCTGCAACACTGAAACTGACTTTCTTGCCTGCGAGACTTCTTGACGGTACACACTGACCATTTGTAAGGCTCTTGATCTGCACATATGCAGAAAATGTGGTGCACACCGTTGAGTACGTACGGGCCTTTGAATTGAATTTTTTGCTGTGTACGACTTAAGGTCGACATGCATACTGGTGTCTTGTACAACGGCCATGCTTCAGTGTTGCATGCGCAATCTCGATCAACTGTTAGTCTGCCGCCCTGGTGTGTATCATTCAGATGTCGGCCGGAGACATGTCGGAGATGGTGTGCAAAGCATGGTACCGCCACCGTCCGTCAAGCAGTTTGCTCGTGTCATGTATAGCCAATAATCCGATCCCTCTCCTCAGTACGTCCAACACTGATGTTAAACGAGCTTGTGAGAGTTTCAATACGATGAATGAAGCAGATGAATTGGCAGCTAGGCACGGGCCTGTGCATCTCTTCACTGTACAACACTTCAAGAAATTCATCACATAATGGAAGTCAATAATGATGACGATTAATTAACGGTGTAAGGCATTATGTGGCCCTTGAGATCCTTGACCGAGTATGACTCGATTCATACCCGCAGAATGACGGCTTGCATGGTGTAGTAGGGCAACACGCTTCTTGCTGACCGTCCACGTGCACGTGTCATATTGCGCAAGTTTTTCTCCTGAACTCTGCGGCCTCAGATTATCGTCTTGACTATTCTATGCGTGATGTACTTCCTTGTTCTTTGACGCTGACGCTTCACACGCTCGGGTCGTGGAACCGTCGAGGGGTTTAACGTTTCACACGAGTTGATGAGCTTGTTCGCTTATGTTGCCCGCCAGCTAGCTTCTCGTCAGAATTTCTTCTTGATCTGCAGTACCAGAGGTATCATGGGTTTGCTCCTTGGCATTGGCCCTATTCAAATTCGAATCGGACTGATTTACCAGTAAAATGTCATCTTCACTGACACATCGGGCTGTCACGTCCGTCCAGGTCGCTTCGCCAGTTGAGTACGGCAAACTCAATCTGCGCCGCGACCCTTCGAAAATTCTCTGGAAGCTGGGAATCTAGATCGACATTCCTAAAGAGAGATCCTGAGCTTTCCTGCTGTCTCGGATCTAATGTTGTTTTGCTGATGGTGAATGTTTTGCCACAAGTTTTGGCTGCTACATGATTTCTCCTCCGACCTTCTCACGCACTTCTTGGTTCCGGATATAATCAGCGAGGCGGCTCCTTTGACTTTCCGGAAAAAATTCCAGAGTTTTCGGACGACTTATACGGGTCAGTCTTAGTCTCTGTGAAGTGCCCGGCTACTTTTGAAAATTTCGTGAAATAGTAGCCGTATACGCGTGCGTGTCTGCAGGACCTTCTGACGGACGACGTCAGCAAGGTGCAATATCAGGGGAGCAGTCTTCGACACGCCACCGGCTTCGAACAGCGGGCGCAAGTGACATCCCAATATCCAAGGTGCAGAAAGTTTCTTGAAAGGCACGCGAGGTGTCCAGGAAGGACAAGGATTATGAAATTACGGACGGGGACGTTTGCAAGTAGAGTGCGTGCATCGAAAGTGTCTCCTCGCAAAAATCCGGGTGATATTCAGCATGTCCTCAGTCCACAAGTCAGGTTAATTGTATGCTAAACAAGAAATCGCGGCGCGTTTCAGCTTTGCCAAGAAGGATCTTGAGACCAATGAGCAAAGATGAGAGGGAGCAAGGATTGAAATGGTTGGAGAATGAATCTTCGCATTCAAAGGAGTTGAGTAGCATTATCCTCGGAATCAGCTAAAGAGTGGGGGGCGCCGAGGAAGGCTCCATAATGACCTCGCAAATTTGCATACCGCCAAGGTCCAGGGAGAGAGGGACTATCAAGAAGCTGGAATTGCGGGGAGCTTGATGAGGAGGCGTTCCAAAACGCTGCTTTGAAGGCACTTCAGACGAAGGTATGCAGAATGGGTTCCATGCGACCTTGTGCGATGCTTTCTTTGAGTGCTTCAAGGATGAGGTGTCTCATTAACAAGCGAGCCAGTTTGCAGCTCCCCTCCTTTTACTCAAAAAGCAAGTCATCGCACAAAGTTGTTCCATTACAGATTCTTGAAGATGCAGCAGAATCAGAAAGGAAGGCCCTAGAAGATTCAGCTTTTGTTCGCCTGCATTCAGGTCTCCTCGGTACAAGCCTTCGTTAAATCTCCTGGCAGACCTAGGTAGAACGGCAGATGATGTGTTTAGGCAGGGTTTTTGGCAAGAAAGGCATCTCATGTTGTCACTACTTTTGAATTCCCCCCTAACTTTGACAAGCTTCATCAAGCTATTGGGGAATCTGATGGCTGCTAGGTATGGTCTGAAGCCAGAAAGAGGGCCATGGAGGCTTTGAATTTTCCTCGTATTGTTTCTGCAAGCAACTCTGCTGATCAGCTGCTACGAGCTGGTGAAAGAATTTTTCCAGATTGGTCAAAGATTTCTAGCCGTCGGTCAAGGGAGACTCTTGCTTTCTTAATGGCAGCGGTATCTCGTTGTGCTTGCACCAAATTTGTGCATGAGAAAGGGTTTTCTTGAGGAATTCCTTCGTAAAACTCAGCTTGTCATCCGTCTAGTATAAGTGCCATGTAATGGAAGGGATTGCAAAGTGCTCTTATCAAGTGACTGATCAAGTAGTTTCGGCCAGACCTGAAAGGAAGGGCGAGTAGAAAGACGTTATGCCAGGATATCAGAGCACTTCTAAGACGAGAAGAGTATGGCATAGACTGCTTATCTTTTCACTTGATCATTTTGAGCTTTTGTGTGGATTGCCCTCACTACGATACCGTCAAAGCTTTTACGAGATTCCCTTCTTTGGACGAGGCCACCAACAGATCTTGTAGGTGTCCTCCATTTCAGTCTTCCCAGCTGAGATTGGAATCTTTCCATCGATTTATGTCACCCAAGATGGGCCTGATCAGAGGGAGCACTCGATGCCGCTTATGGCGACATCAGTACTGCAGATAAGGGATCATCCGATTCTACGTCTATATCAAAGGGTCGATTCGTTTATAGATAAGAAAGGCTATAGATTTCCGTCTGAGTTTTGGCCTCGTTCCATCTGCAGGGAATGCTCTCAGGGCAGCATGCGCCCTGAGGACCACAATCCATTGGTGAATACACACCTCAAGCGCGCTGAAGAAAGATGCCTGAAGGCTTCGCATTCCTCTGTGGTCTGTCCTCCACAATCAGGTGAAATGAAAACCAAGCCACAGTAACAAGGCCAGTCAGCATGCGTCACGCGAAACTTCGCAATTGAGGCAAACTCTCGTTGATGCTACTTCATTGAAATGGTGCAATACTAGCTCCTACAACCATTCAAAGCTCCAACCGATCTTCGTTTTGTGACTAGAGTGTAGGAAAAACCAGATACAAGCTTGAGAGTCAAAACAAAAGAAGCTCGGTCAGATGATTCTTGCTGAGGATTGGACTCAGCGCTTGCAGTCGGATGCAACGGAATCACTGGCATCAGATTCAACTTAAAAGCTAAGCAGACGCAAAATTCAAGAGATGATGGTCTCAATCAGGTCCTTTTGCTTCTATTGCAGGTGGATCGCGCATGGATGCAGACCTATTTCTGCTCCTCGACTCGAGCGCACAAGATAGTTTCGAGTTCCTCAATGCAACCAAGGAGCTCATTCCCAAAGGGCAAGCCATCTCCGCGCTTGAAGAGAGCGCACTATCGGGTCCTGCTCGTTCAAGTATCTCGGTCGAAGTCCAAGGACAAGAACCTGAAAGGTTGACGCGCCGAGCACAAGACCATTCTCAGGTTGGTTTTCTTCATGGTTTACTTGTCTGTCGATATCTTCCTGGAATCGACCCGATCATGTGAAGAGTAGTTCTTAGGTGCACGGAAACAAATTCGTTAAATCCTGAAAGTCAAATTGCATCATAAGTGAACAGGAAGCCAAAGAAGAGTGCCAGCTCAACAGAGTCCTCTGAGAAACTGCAAATCATGTGCAAAGTCGATACAGGAATCACCACTTCATATCATTCTTTACAAACTTGAGACTCGAGGCAGGATCTACATCTTCAGTCGAGAATTTAAGAACAGAACATTTGGACTGACTAGCTTGAAGCGGAAGGGTGAAAGGCTATTTAAGAATGATTTCTGAATGTTCTTCCACAGGTTAATCTAAAAGCTAGCCAAATTACCTTTGGGTTTGACAGTTTTGCTTAAGGCCTTGACTCTTGTTTTCGCAGGCTGCCAATTTGGAAGCTTCTGTGAGTCTTCTGTGCCATGAAGGGAACACTGAGATACTGTATAGCAACCCCGTGACGATCAGCCGGAGGGAAAGCATCGACGAGTCAAGTGGAGAAGGAATGGAAGCAGCTCAAGGGGGATCCCCCGCCAGCCAAGAGATGAAGCAGAACTCAACGGCCGAGGGAGAGCCAGGAGCGTGTACCATCCTGCAGGCAGAAACCATCAACGAAAGCAGAACGGAGAACCTTACGACGACATTGGAGACGACCGGCACCCCTGAAGACGGTCAAGCTGTTCGTGCTTCTGCGCGAGGAGAACACCTAACTCCTCTGAGCGAGGCTTTTCGGACCGTAGACACAGGGCGTCCGAACGGGCTCCTGTGCGTGGCGAAACGGACGCAGCTCCCCACCCTCCTGGATAACTCGCCCCCACAGCAACCGGCGTCAGAAGATGGACAGGCTCCGAAAAGGCTGGGTTTTGCGGAAAAGAAGTTCGGGCGAGATTTTGAGAGCTTTATTGGCGAAGAGCGGGCCACGGGAACATTGGGGGAGAACCCTGACTTGCGCGCCGGCTCGTTGGACCAAGCTGAAGATCGGGGCCCTGTGGAGAGGTCTCTTGGTGGCGTCCGCGGCTTCAAGAAGGGCCTGCGGACAGCCTTCCTGAGCCGCGACAGGGCCCGGGATGCGGACGGGTTCTTCTCCGCGAGGAGGCTCCCGCGCGCCGCGCGCGCGGGCGATCCCGTTTCTACACAGGCTGGTGTACAGTCTGACCAGCGAAGCGAGGCGCTTCCCGGGCAGCCGCTCTCAAACGGCCTCAAAAAATTTGATGGAGTGTTCCCGGAAGGATCTCCAGCAGAAGCGCCCGGTCCCTTCGACCGAGAACTCCTCACCAGCTTGGGCATCGGCAAGGATTCATTGGAGCGGGCGGCCGGCAGCTCCCCAACGGCGGTCCTCTCGCCGCGCGCGCTCGTTGCGCAGCCGCCCGACTCCCTCAGTCTGGCCCACCTTTCACCTCCTCTCCAAGCGTATCAGGGAAACACAAACTTCCCCAATCACTATCATTCCCCTTCAAACGTTCCGGCTTTTGCCCACTCTCCCTCAGCCCTGGATTTTCTCAACTCTATGCAACTCCCGCCTTTTGAGCCTTCTCGAGCCCCGCCGAGCCTCTCTCAGTTTCTCCAAAGGCCGGAAGTAACTAGATCGGAGGACTCATTTGGTGCTGAGCCGGCCGAAGAAGCCGCCCCGGGAATCTCGGGGTTCAAGTCAATGCTGCGGAAGAAGCAGCAAGTGCGCCCGGGGAAGTCTACCGAGCCCAACGCGCTGCCGGTTATTCTGGAGGGAAAGCCGGTGGAGCTGAATAGGAGGGTCTCTGCCAGCCCGAAGTCCCCAATGGTGAGCGAACCAATCTTACGCTCTGCCTTACTGTTCATTTTTCGAAGTGCTCTTTCACTGCCGTGTTTCTGTCTTAAGTCAGCCATACTTTTGAGACGCAAACTTTCTGTTCTGAAAGCTTAAAAGCCATCGGGTTAAGATTCTTCGTTTCGTATTCGCCGATTTGCCGAAGTGTCTTCAACCTCCTCATTGCCGAGTTTCAGTCTTGGCAGAGCTTTACATGAATCAGATGCGAGCAGGAGACGAGAACGATTATTAAGTCAGCCCCTGCCGGAATTTGCGTTCCACGGTCTTCTTTCCAGGAGCTTCATCGCAGACACCTTTCCGAATCCAAGAAATCAAAAGATATGAAGCGACCTGTATCTCGTGACCTGTTCGGTCAGAATCAAACAGATAAGCGGCAGAAAGGAATGTGCTTTCTCTTTACCTATTCCGGCAGGATCTGGTGGAATCGGATGACCCGGTGGGAGGAGCCGAGGACGTAAACGGACGGCGCAAGCAGCCCGGCCGCGGCGTGAAGCGGCCGGCCGCCAACTCGCCGTCGGCAGTGGGCAAGCGCAGCTCGCAGTACCGCGGCGTGACGAAGTGAGGAACTTCGCAACACAGTAAAGTAGAATGTTATTCAAAGCAGTAGAACCTATGAAGGCTTGCATATTCAAGCTTGAGAGTCCTGCCAAAAGAAGACTGGAGCAAGCAGCTTGTGTCTCCGGATGTTGCTCAGATCGTTGATTCGTTGTGTTCTTTCCAACGACCAGGCACTGCAGTACTGGGCGTTACGAAGCTCACCTGTGGGACAACAGCAGCCGCAAGGAGGGCATCAACAAGAAGGGACGACAGGTGTACCTGGGTGAGCTTGTACTCTGAAGCCGAGCAGATGGAGGCATCTTCGCGGCCGCCAAAATGCTTAGTCTTTCTGCGGCTCATCGACCTTCAGAGATCTCCAAACTGACCCCGGAAAGATGACGGCTTCGCGTCTGAGCAGCTCTCAGATTTTTTTGTAGCAATCGCAAAGAGATGCTGTCAACGATGAAAGTATTTCGAGGCATATTTAGGTCTGTAAGTCTTTTCGCTTTCTATCCGGTCAGGCGGGTACGAAAAGGAGACGGACGCAGCCCGGGCGTACGACCTTGCCGCTCTCAAGTACTGGGGCGTAGGCACCAACTACAACTTTCCGGTAAGCTCCAGCGGATAGCGGACTCTGAAGGCTTCCTCAATTCAGCGCTTACACGATGGTGTAGGAGCGTTCCTTCGGGCTATGGGAGGGAAGTTTCGAGTCAAGCCTAATCGATGAGGTACAAATTAGTTGCTTTCCTGCTGCTTTTGATGACCTGCGTCTAATCAACAACTTTCCACCATGGATTTGCAGCTGAAGGACTACGAACAGGACCTCAAAGAGATGGAAGACGTGTCTCGCCAGGAGTTCGTCGCCACCCTCAGAAGGTGAGGCGAAATTGAGGAGCATAAGAATAATTGATGCCTCATATGAGCAAAGAAGGAAGACATACCTAAGGCCCTCATCTTCGTATGATCGGGTTCGCTGGATTGCGCCCTTGCAAAGGACTCATGAGTTCAGCCGTTCAGGTAAAGTTGAACGACATTACGCTGTGCACCCATTGCCTTTTCGAAGCAGTACCCTCAGAGAAGATTCAATCCTTCAAAGAAGCCTCAGAACATGGACCCGGGAGTATCTGCGGAGACTTCGCTTAATTCGGAGGCCGCAGATCATGGCTTGCTCCTTGTCTTACATGTGATACGAAGTTGCGCTTCTGGACGCCGTCTTTCTGAAAATTTGAACGGTTGCGCTGAGAACGAGACATGGCTCCTCAGCTTTTCGAGAAACGCTCCTGCTTCTGGGTGCAGGACTTTCAGATGCCGGCTTTTGCCCGTTCAGCTCAAAGAGCAAGGCTCCAAACATTGACCTCCTGATAAATGAATTTTCCACGCAACTCGTGCAGGAAGAGCAGCGGCTTCTCGCGCGGCGCGTCCAAGTACCGCGGCGTGACGCGGCACCACCAGCACGGCCGCTGGGAGGCGCGCATCGGGCGCGTGCTCGGGAACAAGTACCTCTACCTGGGGACGTACCCGACACAGGAGGAAGCGGCGCAGGTGAATTATTCGTCCTGGGAGAACCTTGTCTCAAAAGTCTTTCTGATGACGATTTTTTGGAGTACTCGAAGAAGTGAGAGGGCAGAATGACAAAGGAAGACCGAGGGGCGAATTCTGGAAAAGCAAGCGAGCGCTAACGGAGGTTCTGGCTTCTCTTGGGTTGCATAATCATCCACGTTCCTACGTGTATGTGATTCCAGAAGCGTAAGAGCGTGCGACGAACAGCACCATTTCCTACCTGAACGTGGAGTAATCGAAACGCATATTTCAAACGGTTTGCTGATCGCCCCTCTGATCGCTCGCGCAGGCTTACGACATCGCCGCGGTCAAGTACCGGGGCGTGCACGCGGTCACCAACTTTGACCTGAGCCGCTACCTGGAGTTCATGCGCCCCGGCGGCAGCCAGACGCTTCCGGCGCCCCCCTCAGCGGACAGCGAAGGCGGGACGGGCGCCGAAGAAGGCTCGGACCTGACTTACGGGTCGCCTAGAAAGAGAAAGAGAGCGGGCTCTGAGCGGCCGGCGGCTCGTTCCTTTGAGCCCAGGGTCCTGTCTACGCAGGTGAGCCGCTTTGCAGTCAACAAAGATGACAGTAAGTTGACTGCATGGAGCGCTTCTGTGCGTTCGGAAACAGTTTGTCGGAAGAATTGAGACGTGGGGCTTGTGGGCGAGGATCGTCTGGAGACGTGATTGCGGATGAAAACTAACGTTGCTGCTTTCATCCTGAAACGGAGGGCACTGAAATCTGCGGGAAAATTGTTTGCAATTTCATGCAAAGTGCTAAGAACCATTTGACGGCCTCTTTGACAATTCTGGCTTGAACAATCTTGAGTCCCCTCTGCTGCGCCGGATGGTCCTTTTCGGAAGCTGAAGTAAGACGATTCCATTCTTTTTTCAAGGATAGGAAAGAAGCGATCTAAACCGTGATTTCTCGTGACACCATAGCAGGTTTTGAACGCTTCGACGAGACAGCCTACTCAGAGCACTTTGTACGGATAATTCCATTAGATTTATCACTTTCCTCTTGCGTTTCCTCGGAGCAAAGGACGCGTTCTGTTTTCTGACGCGTTCCCTTTAATCCCCGCAGATAGTGATGCCGTCCCCAGCACCACGTTTCCCCGAGCCGGCGTCTCCCACCGAGCCGGCGTCTCCTTACCAAGTCGACCCGCGAATCGACCCCCGCTACGCTCCTCTATCAGTCGACGATCAGCAGGCGCTAAGTGACCAGTTCTACTTTGGGGGGGAGTTCTCCCCCACCCTAGACCAGCCTTTCAGCCCCCTGAACACCACCCACGCCGTTCATCTGCCGAACCCCCTCCAATACTGCCAGCTCGTTCCGTACCCGAACCTGTCCCTGAACTTTCCCCAAGCTCTGAGCCAGTTGTTCCCGGTCTATCCTGGGCTCGGCCAGTACCCCCAGACCTTGCCCGGTGCTTACGCCCCGGGTCTTCAAGTGGGGTCAGATAACAGGGAGGGTGCGGAGGATGCGGTGCATGCGTCGAACGGGCTTGTGCCGCCCGGGTACTCTGCCTGGGACGCGGCACAGTGACAAGATACGATCACAACAACGGAGTGGTCAGAGGAGGCGGCTGATGTATTTAACATGCGCTCGCATCCTGCTGGGAGGGGAGTACCGTTCATTGGCGAGGCAGAAAGGTTGACACAACAACGGGGCGGTCTGTGGAGAGCCCCAAAGCTCTGCTATTTAACGAACTAAATAACTCGTTCGAGATTCTGGGCTGACGCGCTACATCGTCAAGGGTGCTGCATAAAGCACTTCGTAGCATTCCACGCTTGAGCCGTTTCTGCATGCAGATAAATGCTGCGCATTCGAACTGTGCCGATAAGCTCTGTAAAACTAAAACCAAGTTGCGCCACAGTTGTAGGTGAAGCAGGAAGCTAACCCACAAAGATTTTGATCAAGAACCGTAAAGAAACTAAGACAAGTTGCTAACAAAGGATAAGGCTGAGCTGCGCAGATCAAGACAATATAGAGATCAATACCAAGGCCACGAATAAAGCAAACGTTTGATAGTGAGTGATAAGGTTTGTATCGAATAACAGCCTCGCGTGCATCTAAACACTGTAATGCATTGTCAAAACTTGGACCAAAGCTTTTCTTGTTACATACGTGTTTTGCCAAACCCGCAAACGTATGCGAGATGTTTTCCTGTGCGGATCAGTTTCTTTGTCTATGTTCCACTGTCAGGAAATAGGCTAGTGAATCCGGAAGGCCGCGCGGATTGAATTCACCATGAATTGCCCGCTAAAGAGTTGAGTAGGCAAGTCAACTGCATTCATAACGTCCTTCGGTTCAAACCCCCTGCACCTTGATGCTCAGGTCATGCGGCGAATAATACACTTCATTGGGGGTTTAATCACACGATGGCGACGTGTCTGATTCGAGCTGGTACGCCGTTGATCGGTATCGACACAGACTAGATCTTTCGTACCTCTGACATTTGTGGTATTCCTTTGTAATTGTGGGAGTGATACGCAGATGCCAGAGATGCTCAGGCTCATGCCCATCTGTAGTACAAGCTCGGCACTAGGGCTGTCGAAACGAAAATTAGAGATCACGATTGAAGGATCGAACAAGCTCAAAGGTTGAATACGCATGACTCAAGTGGCGCAGAGCTCACGTTGATAAGTCTTGGTTCTTTCAAAAAAGCGCCATATTGAAAGATAACAACGATAGCAACAACAAGTGATTAAATAGTTAAACCCAAAGTTGACACGCTCTGCACCCGTACCCACCCCTAGTAAAACTCACATTACCCTTCATGGCGCTTACCCTTTCTGAACTTGATCGGGAATTTCGATTTAGTAACATTTGTCACGTAGATGCTCTAGCTCGACCATTTTGAGTACCAGCTCGGCAGCTGCGTCAATGTGACATTCGAAGTACGTTCTTGTACGTTTGATCGTTTTATGTATGTTAGTGTTGGGCAGTAGCATTTACTTCCTATTATCCTAGCTTACAGTTTTTAGACAGGCCAGTTAGAACTTATGATGGCAGTGTTCCGGTATCCTTCCTCATTACGATGACAACTGACAGCTTGTGACCACGAAGTTTGAGATTCGAAAGTAGGGAGACCATGAGTAAAGTCTATTGCATTCGGACCTTGTCCTCTCCGATCATGCATTGTTGATATTGCATGTTCAAGTTGATCTGAGTTGATCTAGGCAAGCCGGTGGGCGCCTCGGCGCACGGGCCGCCCTGGCGGCCCGCGCGCGACAGCAAAATCCAAAATTCGTAAAACGGTTGACGGTATCTACATGAAATGATGACGGTGATTTGACGCACGAACTCCGGAATCATTTTCAGGTCATATATACAGTCTCCTGAAGCATTGACGTTTGTCCAGACGGCAAGGCCGCTACAAACCAGCTTTTTGGAGAAGGGTGCGCGCGCTTTCCTAGAGTTTAAGCCACTAGTGTACGGTAAGTTGCGTGGCCAAAATGGAATTACCTATGTGCCAACCTCGACGCACACTCTAGGACTAGAGTCTCCGGGAAGCTGTGCACGCTGCCTACACTAATCAACAGCTTACAGGTTAGTCTTAAAATTGACTAGGACCACAATGACAAGGCCTACTTATTATGCAGTCGTCCTTCGCATTTAAACCTAGAAAGCGACACCATTGGATCCTCGGTGTTTCAAGAGCGACAGCAAGCGGCTGAAGATATTTTCTGTCGTTTTAAGGTCGGGCAATGCAGGAATGAACTTAGCATCTGCATGCCTGCTAGGTTGATACCGCAGCTTTGGCAACGATAAGTTTGCCTTTGAAATAGGCGACGCGCTAGCTCCGGTAGCAGCGGTCCCTGAGGAGGGCGCTGATTCTGGCTGTGAAGTGATATGAATGCTGCTGATTGTAACCTTCTTCCGAATACTGCTGCTGGCAACATATTGCTATCAATTTTAAACACAATAAGTTGTAAACACATCAATTTGCACTTTAAGTCGACCATTGGCTGAGCAAACAAGAGGAGGCAAGAGACATGGCTCTCAAAGTGTACAGCAATAAGACTCTTCAGGGCGAGTTCCATCACACATACATCTTCTGGGATACCATTTTTCCTAAGTTTAATCGCCTTCTTCTGGAGAGATCACCTTCGTTTTCTTTTTCAAGGAGGGCATGTTGACGTCCAAGATGAAAGAAATTGAAGCACAGTGCTAAAGCGCGTTGGCGCAACACACGCCTGAGAAGCGTTGGCTAGGATGACTAAGAGTCTTCTTCTGGAACTCATCAGCGTTTGTTGCGAGGATCCGTTTATGACTACAGTCGACAATCTGTTGAAGAGCTGACAATCTCCCTGACTTTCTCAGCTACGCCGATTGCATGCAGCAACTCCAATCACTTTGCTTCCGCTGTATGTTAATAATTGGACCAAGGACCGAGAGGGAATTTGAAGCAGCAACTCAAGAGGAAGTCCTGAGATTCTTGATTCACATACGCTTGTTGGAGAACGGCTCTTGCTTCGGATGCTGCAGACAACTGGAACGAGGACCGCCTCCAAGCTTCCTGTTCCTTTGATGAAAGCAAGAAAATAGCAGGCGGGACAGGCGCCAGGGTAAGCAGCTGACCGCTTAAGGAGGAGCTCCTCATAGTTAGCGCTTAACCTGAGGCTTTTAAAACCCTGGGCAGGCGCAAGTTTAATTAAGCCTGCTCCAGATCGGGGCTTGTCAGCCACATGATAGGTGCCTTCGCCATCGGCGAATACGGGTAATGTTTGGCTACCAAGGTCAATCAGCAAGCCAGGTTAAGCACGGCAATCCTGTGTTGCTGCTGGGGCAGACAGTAATGTACCATTTGTCTTACCGACTGACATAAGCTGCTTCTTGGAACGAAGCAGCGGACAGAACGATCTGAATGCTCCTTCCAGAGCTGCTGTGAACGTCTCAGTGGCAGTCTTACCTCGATCAACTTGGTTATGAAAAAGGGAAGGTGGTGCAACGAAGCTCTTCTGAAACTTCTTCAGCTTCTGCTAACCTCCCATAGACCAGTCCACTAACCCCTGCCAAGCTCTGCCTAAACCAGTCAACTAATAAACACGGTTACCTGTTTTCGTTACAGACGCTCGTGTCCCGGGCAGATGAAGGTTTTCCAGAGATCAGCAAAAGCGTGAGCAATTACAACGAGGCTTTCATTAACATCCCGCACTACACCCGGTTCAACCAACCGGACACCAAGGAGCGGATCCTGCCCTCTGCCTCCGCAGCAACGGTCAGCGCCGCAAGAGCTCTCCGCACTAAGAGTTTATTGACGTTGCTGGCTTCGTTGTGGACCTCGAATGCCTTGGCAAGAAACGTCTGAAGAGCTGCGTTCTTCGAAAGACTTTGAAAGGTCGTCGAGCTCAACAATGGGCGTTTATACGGCGAAGTTAGGGGGGCCACAGTTGCTTAGAATTGAGACACGTGGCAGGTTACGTGCGGCCATGTGAGCCCGTTTCCTTTTCACTCACTGCCAAAATTGGATCCTTCACAGCCTCTTTCAAATCGACTGTCGAGCTGCCGACTTTCAAGGCTCGTTTTCCAGGTGTTGACGCCCTGAAATAGCCTGCGCGATACATGCTCAAAGGCTCTGAAACACACGTCCAAAAAGGGACACGTATGGATCTCACCGACCCCGACGATGAGATTGTCACGAACATGTGAGATTCTGCCACGTGTCCAGGGAGGCCCTGCTGAGTCGAGCAGCACCTTTTACCAGAAGGCGGTGCTCGAGCCCCGGCCGGAACCCAAGCCAAAAACGAGGCCCATGGTTAACAAGGCGAACATCCACGAGATACACCAGCCAAGGTGAGAGGCTAGGAGAGACCTTACGTGGAGACTTCCAAATTGAAAAGTGACTTTCGGATCGTCGACCAGCAGGAACAATGGCCACTATCGAGTCCCTCTTGTATTCCGGGCATCGAAGAATACAGCATCATCTTCGTAGAGGGCCAGTACGTAGCTGCATGCTGGCCGTTACGCTTCGACTTCGATGACCTCCTGTGCCTTTGCTGCGAGAAAAGCATAACGTGCGCACCTCGATACCCTCGGTTTGACGCTCTTTCCCGAGTCAGGGTCGTTACAACCCGGCAAAATGAGACAAGCTTTGTGTTTCCTGCAGGGCAACGGGCGCCCCTTTGGAGGGCTACGGGGCAACTCTGCCCGGGCACAAGAAGGAGTCCGATCCGAGGCAGGTCACCCATCGACAAACATCCAATTCTGATCGACTTTCTGTTCTGCTGTTTCTGATCTGGAACGCTCGACGCCGATCCTAACGCTCCACCGCTTTCCGTAGACTTCTGCTTTCAAGCGCACATGATCTAGAGCGGAGGCTCGTGTCATGATTAGACCAGGTCTAGCTTCAGAGTTCCACTAATCTTTCCAAACAGCTACCAACATCCGATCGGGAACGCTAACCATACACTAACCAGGGTTGTTGAAGGCTGAGCTTTCCTTTCTGCCAGTCAAAGGTGGGTTACGACTAACCAGCGCATGTACGTCGATGACCCGGCGAAGGCCCGGCTGCGGCCGCCCCCCCCCGACAAGCTCGACGATGAGGTAAGGGATCAGACTGAAGGGTTTCACTTAGCGGAAAGCTTTCCTTTTAAGAACCGGATCATCGCGCAGATATTATGGGTCTAAAGTGGACGATATGTAGCCTCCACTTGACATCGAACCCTTTACGCCCTGTTTACCGAATATTTGTTCTATTTTCGGGCTGTCAGTGAGCTCGCTTTTGTCGCATATGGGCAGTAGGGATGATCTTCACTCTGCCGCAATATTGTCTGAAGTTTTTTGCAGAGGGACAGCGTTCTGAGGCCCACTGATCCGCAAAACCGTCTCCTTCACACCATCGACGAACGTGGTTGACAGGATTATAACCCGGCTCAATTTGCCGTGCAAAAGCTTCAACCATTGTGCTATTGAGTCCTTCGTCTACAAAAGTCCCCGGTGCTTCTTCTCGTGCAGCGGTTCGTAGGTGGTTTACCAGCCAGCTGTAACCCCAACTTCCCGGAAAAAGGCCGGTTGCTGCCAACCGACCGAACCTTCTTCCGAACCCGATCTTTTCCTGGGGACGACGGGACAGCGAGCGATGTGAGGCCGAATGGGAAAAACTGCGGTCCTTCTGGATCTTGCCTCAGCCCCTGCCATTAAACTGTTTCAGCCCTGGCTACCAAACGTAGTGAAACGGCAAAAGCGGAGCCCAAACGCTCCTGTGTGCCCTCTGCATCCAAACGTTTTCCATTTCCGAATGTTGCTGTGATTGCATATGGGCTGTGAAGGTGGTCAGACAAAACTGAGGAAGCCTAGTGTGCCCCCGTATCTTGTTCGGAAATGTTCAACGCATTTTTCGAGTGCGAGTCATGCTCCATGCATCTTTCGGGGCCTTCTGACGGTCTAAAAGGTTGGTTATCAAATCGGTTCTCGGTGTGTGATTTCGTGCAGTGTTTGAAGGGATCCCCTGTTGCCAGCAATAGCGCCCAGCTGGATTGAAACCGACACCCTTTATGCACATGATCGGGCCGGACCCTGTGTCAGAGCTAGGCGCTTTTGTGACGGAGTCAGCCTTATGTACGAACCGCAAGCGTGAGCAGTATCAAGCGGCGGTTTGTACGTGGGCGAAGAACATCGTAAAGGAATAACGAGTAACTGGACTTTGCACAACTTGGTCGACTGCCTGGTAAGCTTCTTTTTTCGCCATGGGCTATGTAAGGCAATAGCGGGCCTCGGACGAAGTGAAGGAGCTACAGCCTTTGGAAGATCCCAGCTGTAGTTATGACTCAGAAAAGTCCCATCTCTCTGCATGTACTGGGAAACGTGAGAACAACCGCATTCCTCAAAAGACTGTTTCCACGAGTACGTTTTTGCCACAAGCACAGAACTTCTCAAGATTTTACGCCGAGTTGGCTACTCAGCCGAACGCACCCGGCCCATGACGGCCGTTGCTGAAGAATTGGTCTCAACAGCCGACGCTGCAAAAACGTGCCAGCATGGTAGAATCGCGGCAGACGAATGTGGGATCCGAGCGTCTCGAAGCGCGTCCAGGTATATGCAAGCGACGTGACGCAAACAGCAGTCATGATGCGATTATTTTACTCTTGCAAGCACCGCGCTGAGCTCGTACTTTACAATGCATTCATCTGGATTCATTTCAGATCCGAGAGCTGCATGTACATGCAAGCTATGTATGCATAGCAGATACGTTGGATGCGAGCCGCCATGCAGTGAGGCTGCTTGACGAAAACCGTCAGTGCTGACCTGCATCCGCTTGATTGACATGCGTGTCACTGCCACTGTATCCTGGTCTATAGTATCGAGGTTCTTGAAAGTTTCTCAATTGGCAATTCGAGTTCTGTTTTTGAAAGGACCTCTTCGCAGCTAGCTTCACAATGAGGCGTCGGACCGCTGATCGATAGATCTACAACCATGCCGCCAGCTTGCTGAGGTCAAGTTGAAACGATGCTGTCACTTTGCACACACGAGCCGAATTGTGCGCGGGGCCATGCAGTCGCGGGTCATTCAAATAGCAGGTTGGGTCAGCCTTTCGGCAATCCAAGAGCTGATGAAAACCAAATGCTACAATCGAACATAATTCTGAAAGATTCGCAGAGGGAAAGCATACTCTGACTACGTTGGCAAGGCATTGACCCATGAATCGATAAGGTGGTCCGCTACTTCAAGCTAGCTTGATCCAATGCACTTTAGTTTAGATCTTCATGTTAGGTACCTAACCGTTGATCTTCATCTTATATCTAGCTAGCTTGATGCATGTTCCGGGATCCAGTCTTTGACGATCTTCGAAGGACTCAAACCGCGTGTCTTTCCTTGCCAGTCTTTACGACTACATGCCTATTACAAGCTTACGGTACAAAGCTGGCACCTCTTTGTCAGCAGCATGCGCTATTTCTATTCAAGCACCTCAACCTGCGTACCATTCCTCTCAGATTTCTTCTCAGCCTCTCCAATTGTTAGAAATCCAGCTTGCTTCCGTTCTGTACAACATCCTTTTCAAAATGCTAGCAAGAACGTATGCAATGCATGTCTACTTGTCTACATATCTACTACAAGGTTACAGGACAAAGACGGGTCAGGCTTACACATCTTTGTCAGCAGCAGCTCTTTTCGATCAAGCACCGTTGGCAGGCCTCGACCTGCGTACTAATCCTTTTAAACACCTTTCTCAACCTATCCAATTCATTCAAATCCAGCTTGCTGCCGTGCTTGACAACCGTGAGCTTCTGTACAACGTCCCTCACTGCTAGCAAGAACTCGCTGATCCTCCCTGTGTATTCCATGTTCAGAACAACGCTTCTCAAACTGCTCAGAGAGAGCGCCTCCTGAAAGCGCACCCTTGTACCATACCCCGCATTGAATTCTCCCATCATGATGTCTACGACGCTCTCCCCGAAGACTAGATGCTTCACCGCGTGCCGGAGAGAGAACACGCGCAGGGAGCTCAAGAAACTCTTCCCCGGTTCGCTAACCACCCTGGTTAACAACTCTGTTGTCTCTACCGAGGGTACGCAAAGCAGAATTTTCAGCATGTCAGTACATGACCAGAGAGTGTCGCTCTTTCCCAATACCAGTTTCTTCAAACTGCAACCCTCTAACCCCCCTAGAAACCCCATAGGCCCCCGCACCGTCACCTCTTCCAAGCTGTGTGCCTTTAGGAACAAACCGGCTCCCCCCGCACAGTCCAACACCCGTAGACTAGGGACTCGCAAGCTGACATCCTTCCCTCGTACAGGCAGCTTGATCACCAGCTCCTGGAGCGTCTCCGACCGCAGGTACCGAGTCGCAAAGTCCCCCACAAAGTGACACGTCCGCAGGTTGCTGACACCAGGGATCAGCTCAGAGGGGAACACACAGCGCCTGGCCTCCACACCGTGCGCCTCGCTCTGCATCGCCTGCTTGACAAAGAACTCCAGCTTGGCAGGGGCGCTCGCCGCAGAGGGGGGGGGCGCCTCCTGGGTCAGAATGTCCCCCCAGGACCCCATTGTACAGATTGACAGGGTGCTGTCCTGGCTTCTGGAGATGAGGGGAAAGTCAAAGACCAGCTTCGCAAAGGGGAACATCGCCACGTGCTTTGTCTCCTGGACGCCTGCCTGGCGGTCCACCCACAGCCTTTGCACCATGTTGAGCTTCTTTCCCTCCAAAACCACCTCCTCTAGTTCCGAGTACCCCACCAGGACACACGAGAGCAGTACTATGTCGGTCGCCTCCATCTCCGGAATGTAGAGCTTCAGGCGCGCCAACGTGCCTTGATACGGCGCCACCATTCGTCCCAGGCTGGCTAGGATTGTGGAGCTGCTCGCAATTCTGCTCCCCAGCTCTAGTTCCTTGACAGTGGCCCCCTTGCGCGCTGCCAGGTGTCGCACCAAAGTGTCAATCTCTAGCTGGGAATCGAGCTCATTGGCCTGAATGCGCGTCCGTGGAAAGGACTCCTGGACAGCATCGCGCATTGCCCGCGACACGCACAGCATCTGCCGGCGGCCATCGCTGTTCAAGCGATGCAGGATCTGGTTGACGACGTCGCTCGAGAGGCTGAGCAGAGCAGAGACGGCGGGAGCCATTCTGTGAGCCAGCAGCACGCAGAGATACTGAAAGAATGGAGGACATGTCCTGTGCCAAAACTTGGTTAATCCGCATTTCACCTGTCAAAAGCCCCAAGGAGTTCGACCCCAAGTTCTGGTGTCCAAAGCCCGCCAATAGCCACTGGCACCAGCAGTCCACCAACATGACAAGTGTCACCCGCACCTTGGGCTCCGGCATTCTTTTGCGTCCCGCTATGAAATTCAAAGCGACGGTGCAATACTGGACTAGCTGCTGAGTCGCAAGAGGCGTTACAACTGAATCCCGATTCACGTTACTCGGATACACGCTAGCAAGCGTGCTTGAGGGTGCCCAACCAGCTGACGCTGTGCTGACGTTGCATTAGTACTCAGGTGAATCCCAGGTCGATCTTACGTTGTGATGACGTTGCAACAATAATCAGGTTCCAGGCTGTCATCGTACCGTATTTAATGCCTTCTTAAACGGGGTGTTTGCGAGATTTTATGTGCCCAGGGCTTCTCAAACCAAAACCTTGAACTCGGTTCCGTTGTCTGCCTTTTTACCTGGTCCATTATTGTCTACCGTAGTGGAAAGGTATGAATTCCGAAAAAATAAATAATTATTTGCCTATCGGAAAGCTACATTACCACTTTTTGGTTCGGAAAGTGGAAATTCGCATTCGTTAAATAATTGCTTGAGTGATATCGGATTTCAAAAAATCCAACCGGGCACACTAAACACGGCTTTTCCGGGGCAAAAATGGGCTCAGGACCCATTCCCGGTCACATTCGGATTCAAGGTCGGATTCATTAAATATCCGCAAATGAAGTCGTATTCAATTAAATAATTGCCATTTTCGACCATTCGGAATCATACCTTTCCACTACGGTAACCAAAAGACTAACCATAACCGCCCCCCGGGGCAAACAGTAGGGTATTAGTTGCCGAAAGTTCGGAGCAATCAATCAATTGTCAGAGGCTTTCTTCTCACCCCGTTACCGGATACTGGTAACTCCGGAGTGACTTAACTGGTGAGTGACTTAAGATTCACAAACCCCGACCAAACAAACTTAAAAACCCAACCCAAATAATCACCCGCTCCGCACCCGAACCCACCCTAACCACCATACTAACCCCACCCGTCCCCCGGGCGCCTTTCTTAAGTCACTCGCCTGTTAAGTCACTCTTTAGTTACCAGACTCGTTACCGGTGTCCTGGCAATAGCCGCGCACCACGGGAATCTCGAAAGCCCACCGGGGCGCCCCGAGAGAAAACAGGAAGCGACCAGGTCACCAGGGCCTACTACCTGGCTCGCCGATCCAGGGCGCTGCTCTTCCCGGTCTGCCGCTGCGGCGCGTGGAAATCTCACCGAGGGCGCTGTGCTCCCCCGGCCCCGGTCCAGGCTGCGGCCGGGGGACCGCCTGCATCGGCATATGGCGACATGTGACAACAGGTTACAGAGCGCCGTGACGCGCCGCCGTCCAGCTCCTGGCGCGTGTCGTCGTGTGCTTGTCACATGCGCATTGAGCAGGCAAGCTGGGCTCAGTCGTAGGATAGCCCCCAGGGTCTGGGGGCCTGTGCTCCAGCTAGCCTGGCAGTTGGAAGCTACGGTAGGTAGATCTACCAGTTGAAGCTCGGGAAATCATTGCAGTTTTAAAGTGGGCGTCCGATTTCAAAGCTCCGGAAATGCGCACTCCGTGCATCTGAGTCTTTTTTTGACGGACCAGATTGCAACTTCGACCAATCTGGGCCCCCACCACCGTAGATGGCCTTGGGGTGTCCATGCATGGCCTATGCCCACTTTAAGTTCGCGCATCATTACTGCAATGATCAATGAAAAGTTTACATCGATCTATGCAGTCGTTGCGAGGGACCCGAGGGATAGGTTTGAGATTTCAACTGGGTTTATTCAGCTATAAAGCTCACGCTAACATTCGGTAGCTACGCCTTCAAAATCCCGGCAATTTGACATGAGAATCTTGTGTACCGATGCCATGGAAGCTTATGTTGAGTTATAAGTGAAGGCCCTACGGCATGTTGACGAGAACCTCATACACGCTCTTCTTTGCTTGGCTCCGACGCGGGTAGCCCCGGACTTTCTAAGTTCACGTTGAAGAGAGACTGGAATCAACACAAAAATGGCTGGAAGTGGACGGCTGTCCGACTCGGAGATGTTGAATGACCACCTGCGACGAACAAGCCGACCATCGCAAACCATCGAACATTGTCCAACATGACGCTCGACCAAGCAGATCTACTGGTCGAATAACACAGAAAGAGTGCGCCAAAGTCGAGTCGCTCGCAACGGAGTTGTCGTCTCGTAGACCAGCACAAACAGCGCCACATTGCTCATTCTTGAAGAATAGGACAAGCCTCTGCCTACGCCTCTTCGTATCAAGCGACGACCCATGTTGGGCAAGCTCATTTGCCCTCCTGAGGGTAGAAGCCCATAAAAATGCAGCAAAAACGACTTGGCGTATTTACTCGTCTTTCTCTTCCTCTTCTGACTCGTAATACACGGCCTGTGGCTGTGTCGATGCATATGCGGGTGCGATGAAGCGGGGCGCTGCCGCGGCCGCTTCCGCGTGCTTCAAGATGGCCTCCCGAGGATCTTCCTCGGCGGCCTTGTCCTTCATGAGCCCACGCTCCTGCATCACAAAGGTTCACAATTTTAAAAGCTGGTTCTCTACTTAAAAAGCGACAGGAAGTGCAGTTCTCTACATCGGATGAAGGGGACCTCGCCAACTGTGTACCGCTGAGTGCAGACCGCGTTAGCTTCCAGGGTTCTGATCTCAAATGCTCTATCTCACCGATTATGCACTCAATGTAAACGCGTCTGATCTGACAAGTTGAGCGGGATCAATCCAGCTTCTTGAAGCAATGGTCGTGTTCAAAGGAGTGGTCAGCTTCCCACCGACTGTACTACAGCACTTTGAGATGCGGTAATTCCTTTTTGTTCTACTTTCCAACGACGACAAACGAAAGTGGACAGTCAGGCCTTCAGTGCCTCGAAAAAGGGTTCTAGACTTCAAACGCAGGCAAAGGGTGTCAACCAAGAATCAAACGCGACTCGCAGATTATGCTTCTCCAAAATCGCTGCGCTTCGATTGCAGCAGTCTGTGCAAGCAAAAGAAGAGCAGAACAGGCCCTAGAAGTTAAGACTCATTCAAAATAAAAAGCAAACGTTGGCTTCAGAGATGTCACCAGGCTCAACTTCCAAGATCCTTCCAAAATCTGTGATTGAGGATCAAGAGCTCCAAGATGCAGCATCCGTTACCAGGTCCACGAACCCCTTGATCCTCGACAAGCCGTCAAACAACTCTCCAATTCGACAGTCCCACAATACCGGAGCTGACAAAGACAACGAAACCCAATTTCGAATTCCTGCTCCTCGCACCTCTCGCCCACATGCACGTCTACTTCCGCTACAGTATTCAACGAAGGACCCTCATCCTTCAGAATATTCCAACCCACCTTGAGCAGGTATTGCGTCAGCAGGCTTCCCGGCGCCTGCCCGATCCGCCCCTTCATCCCCGGGCCCGACACGGGCAGGTCCGGCCGCTTCGACGTGACCGGATCTTTCCGCGCCTTCTCCCGGGTCTTCTTCCGTGACAGCTCCTCCCGGAACAGCGGAAGCGCGTGCGGGTTGTGGATGAGCGGCTTGGATTCCAGGTAGTCGTCGACCGACTTTTTCCGGGGGGCGCGGGGGACGCACACGAGCGCCCCCCGCTCCGAGAGCGCGGGGTCGTACAGCACGTGCGTGGCGCCCTCCTTTTTGTCGCCAACGCTCGCGAAGATCTGCATGGAGGGGGGGGACGAAACTGGCTGAGGAGCGGTTTTGCAGGTAGACTCCAAGGGCGCGAATCTTTGTATCAGAGATGTGGGGTAACCTCGGAGTCAGAAATTTCTCTGTGTAGTCTACAGTGGCGGGAATCTGCGAAGGCAGGGATGAGTTGTGTACCCAGAGCTGACAAAAGCGTGGAGGTTCGACAAAGTAGCAGAAGCCCTGTGAACGGCTCAGATTCGGGAGGTGGGATTGACTTCAGGCATACTGTTACAGCAATCATTTGACAGAGGCAACCAAGTTTTGCAAGGCAATGTCTTGTCGTGCCTAGCGAACAAACGATGCATGAGCAAAGTCAAGCTCGACCAACTACGAAGAGCCACCGCCGAAACGCGATGCCTGCGCAACGACTCCGCATTACAATGAGCAGACAAGCAGGAAGCCTCCCGCTCCTCAAACAAAACTCGTGCCCAAACCCCTTCCAATTTGCTATGCAATGCGCACAGATATCAGCTGCACCCACAAGAAATCCAGCAACCAGAAGATGGGACGCGTTGGCAGGCTTACCTGATTCAGTCTAGGGTGCCAATGCACGCGCACAACGCTCTGCGTAGGCGCGATCCCCACTTTCCGCACCAGCTCGAGCCTCTCCCGGTCGAAGAACACGATCTGGCCCCCCGGCGCGTCCTCCCCTTTCTCGTAAGAAGTCCCCGTGACAATGAGCTGCTCGTCCGGACTGAAGGCGACGTTCGTATGCCCGTATGAGTTGGGCAGGTCGCCGAAGACGGCGACGGGGGCCTTGAACTTGCGGGCGTCCCAGACCTGCGAGAGCAGTGTTGTCAATTCGGAAAACTCTGGACCGAAATCAGACTACCTTAGCGAATCTGCGAGTATACGCAGGACGAGAGATATGCGATAGCACTAGTAGCACGTCATCAGTAGCCCTCTCCTCAGCTGGGGACGGTTTGCAGGGAACTCCGCACAGCAATCAGCTCCAGCACCACTGTCTTCGCCTGAACCATCGCAATCATCTAGCCGCCCCAAAACTTTAACTTGACACCAAGAAGCACATGCGCTCTCCCTGCCGTTGGGACCGTGTAATTCGTGACACCAATTACCACTACGACCAACTCTCGTATCCGCGCTCGCCCTGACTTCGAGTCGTCGGTTGATCAGTGAACTCAAGACAGTGCCAGGTTTGGTATGCCGAAGGTATGGTATCATAAGTTCCTCGACTAGCATCCGACAAGTCCGCACTCTCAACCCAAAGCCCGACCTCCCGCACACAGGAGGCGTCCCGCCCCGTCGCATTCAAGCGACAAACCTCCAACACACAAATCTTGGATTGCAACTCACAGTCCCTGCAATCTTGGTTGCACACGCCAATTTAGCGACCCTCAGAGCGAAACCCGCGGCTAGAAGGTCCGGTCGAGCCCGATGCCCCTCTTTCACCCCTCACCTTGAGCGTTCCGTCCGTCGCCCTCGACAGCACCATGTTCCCGTCCGCGGCAAAGCACAGCCCGCTGATCTCCTCCCCGTTCGTGTGTCCCTTCTCGACGTACAGATCCGGGCGGCTGCCCCAAGCGCCGCGGACGTTCCATATCTGGACACAGAAAACAAGTTCATGCCTTTCGAACGTTCCTAGAAGGTGTAAAAGCTTAATTTGAGAGGCATGGAGGCTCAGGAGGCGAAGCCGGAACGTGTGTCCTCAACCAATCCTTCAAAAACTCGACCAATTTTTCCAAACTTTAGATACGAAAAGGTCATGTTGTTTGACATCAAAACCTAAGGCAAGATCAGTGCGGATCGCATCCAACAATGCTTGGAGTGTCCAGTAGAAGCAAGACAGCATCTACGAAATGCACCCCCCATAGGTTGACTGTTCAGTAAGTTCTACAAAAGCCAACAAGGAATGTCCAACGAAAATCTTTGGGTCGCTGCCTACCTGAATGGAGCCGTCCGCCAGTCCTGCGGCCATGGTTTTGCCACCTGGCCCCCACGTGCACGTGGTCACAGAGATGCGCCCGGGGCGGGCTAGCTTGGGCTTGACGACCTGGAGAGACGGCAGCAACTAGGTTCGGGAACTTTCTGCTCAAATTCAAGCCGATTTGCCCGTTTGGTAAGCTCAAGAGTTGGCAGACAGAGTCGGGAAGCAGACGGACCAAACGACACGAGCGCTGACCTGCAAAGAGGCGTCCTAACTAAATTGAGGAAGTTTCTGCGATTCGAGGAAGTGCGGCCTTGGCAAGAGATGGCTCGAGCCCACAGGAAGAATTTGCAAGCTACAGTGATTGTTCATTTGCTGGAGACTATGCCCAAGCCGGCCTGCCTACTTTGCGAGTCAAAACAATCAATCGAGTAGCTGCCACTCAGCAGATCCGATTCGGATCGAACTCAAGAAAGATGGTAGAAAAGAAAGGATGACTTGAAGGCAACGCCACTGGGACGGGGAGGGTTGGTTTCAGGGGTTTGGAGTGCGCAGGGGTGCGGAGCAGGTACTTTTTGCATTAGGATCTTTTGCGGAGGTCGATTTGAGTATATTCTTGGGTGACTTTTTGTTTTCTTGAGTTTCGTAGATGCGGCCCAGGGGGACCAGCTGCGGCTTCTCTACATCACCTGTTAGCAAATCTGAAAGTCGATTCAAGCACAACTAGAGAAGCAACGACGGCTTGATCACCTAAAGCCAGCCACGCAGAGAAAAGCGCCTGTAGGCCTACAGAGTGAGGATTTGAACTCGGTTGCCAGAAAAGGTAAATCCAAGTAATAGTGCAGCGCCGGATTGCGGCGCCTGAATAACGACGCTGCCAAAAGCACGTCGTCATCCGAGAGTACCGATTTGAACAGCAATAATTGAGCTCTTCGGTCGCCAGAGGAAGGTAAGTCCCCTAACGCCCTCTCAACACCAGCAGAAGCAGACGCGCTCCAAAAAACAGTCAACCCTCGCCGCATCGTCGCACCTGCTTCTGCTGCTTGAAGTTGGTGACGTCCCAGATGCGCACCGTCCCGTCCTCGGATGACGTCAGCGCGGTCTGCCTCTCGGCGGGGTGCCACTCGCCGTAGGTGCAGCCCGTGATGTGGCCCTTGGTGTTCTTGGCGTCGCGGATGTACATGTCGCCGCGCACAAACTCGCCCTGGCACGCGCCGTCACGGTCGTAGATCTGTGGAACAAGAAAGCAGGAATCAAACCTCCTTCTGCATATCTTGCTTAATGCACACCTCTCCATGTATAAGCTCGCTCTGGTAGCGGTGATTGCTTTGAAAAAAAGACGCAGTGATTGCTTCTGAACTTGCTGCATGTACATGTCGCCGTACACAAAATCGCCCTCGCACGCGCAGTTGCAGTCGTAAATCTGCCCAGCATCAAAATAGATCAATGACAATTTGGCTAGGAGTGGGTTTGCTTCGTTAAAAACCCGAAGCGAAAGTAGTCTCTGTAGTTACGTTGCGAAGGTCGGAAGCTACTGAAGAAGGTTTCGAAAGGAGCCAGGTTCCCGATCATGAGCAATACAAGACGTTCAGGCCAGATGCATCGGACTCGTCCTGCTTGTCCCCTTGAAAGCGAGTAGCCAGAAAGTGTGGCTTGACGCAATTGCATCATCGCAAACGCACTGGTTCGCTCGAGCACCCCAAAACACGTGCAGAGTGGAACACACAACAAGCCAACCTCTTGATACATCATTGAGGCTGTGCCGTGGTTTTAAGCCACCTTCTCGAAAATGCAGTCACAGTGCAAGTCCGGTCAACATCTTCAACTTGCGATCATTCCGCTTCTTGTTTGCCCAGCCTGACCCAGTGACCTGGACCAGATCTCAAAGATAGTACTCCACAGTATTCCTGGTCATCACTTTCTTCGCATAACCTTAGACTTACGCATCTATTCCGTCCAGGATAAAGAGACCCTCTCACCTTGGCTTGCGCCGACCCCGTAACCACCAAGAAGCGGTCCGCCGTCGGACTCCAGCTCAGCGCTCGCACCGCATGCCCCTCGCTCGGCTCCAAGTGCCGGAAGCTCTTCAGCCGTGCGTCCATCCCGTTGAAGTCAAACATCTTAACCACGTAGTCGTAACCCCCGGTTAGCACCCTTGACCCGGTTGGGTCCACCGCCAGCGCCGACACGACTCGCGTGTGCCCCTTGAGCCGGATCTCGTGCTCCAGCGGTATCCTGTACGGGTCCGAATCCGTTTCGTCCTTGTCCGAATCGGCTGACTCTGCGTCCGAACCGTCCGACTCCCCGTCCAAACCGGCCGAACTTTTTCCAGGGGGCTGTGGGGGCCCCACGAGCTCCTCTGGGGGGGGTCGCGGTGGCCCCACAGCCACCCCCCCGTCTTCGTCTGATCCCCCCGAAGGATGGGGCGGCCCGGCAACCCTCTCTTCCTCTTCCTCTTCTGAACCGTCTCTTAAACGATCTTGCAGAATCCTAGCGTCAGAACCAAAAGGCCCTGTCGTAGCTCCGTTTCCACTGGGGCCAGCCCTGTCGAACTCAGGCTGACTGGCCCCAGCAGGGCCTCTGACCGCATTCATTCCGCCGTCTACTCTCGCCCGCTTTGCAGCCGCTTCTCCATTCTCCCCTTCCCTGGCACTGACTGGGCGCGCCAGTGCTTCCTTGCCCCCCGGAATGACAGAATCCTGAGCAATGCTGGCACCCCCAATGTTGAATGCAATCTTCCCCTTTTTCGGAGCTGCCCCCGCCCCAGGCCGTTTCGTTTTGCTGTGCACGTTCTCGAGCGCCTCGCGCTTCGCCTCCTGGCGGCCGAAGCCGGTGGGGAACGCGGCGCGCAGGCCCTCATGCATTTCCGCCTCGTCCTCGACCATGACGCCATCCTGCGATCGCAACAAACGATATGTATTGCGCGTTTCTTGTTGATCTCTTCGAGGTTTCATCTTCAAATGATGCGAACACGGTGGGCTTCTAATGGCTGCGGCGCAAGACATCACCTCAGCCTGGTTCTCGACTACTCATGCCATCTGGCGACAACGACGTACAAATCTGTTTTGATTAGCCTTTCTCGTTGACTTCCTTCTATTTGTTCCTCCCAACTTGTGCAACTCGGTTTGGTTCAACCCTTGCCCTCACCGGTTGCCTCACCAATCTTCAGCCAGGAAGCTCAAGTTGAGGACTATGGTCTTACGAATCTACTCAGAAGCTGTTCCTTGTCTGTTGGGCCTCGATTAGCCTGATCAACTTTGTTTGACCATAGTTTCGGGGTGCCACGCGGTGCAAGGTCATGTCAAAAGCGCGTAGCGGGTGAAAGAAATACCAGTGGGGCGAGAGAGAAGGAGACGAAGCTGGTCTTGAGTTGATCTGCTGCCCATCTCCCATCTCGCTTCCTGATTGCCAAAAAGTGCTGTCATACCGTAGCACAATGATTTGCCCTTCAGTCCTACCACGAGTAAACGATTCCTAATCCACGCTTGACCAGGTATGAACCACACTCACGCAGAGTCAAGGATCCCTTTTTTCATTAGCAAGATATGCCTGAATGCAGAGAAGACCTCCCTCAGCAGAACGAGCTCAGAACGAGCTCAAATCAACCACTTCAAACCAGGAACGTTGAACCCCAAGCGCATGCTCACTGTGAACTTAATAACTTGCCTAAACCCTTCTAACCGTGCTGCAAACCACGAACGAGACTCACCGGAACCGGGCCAGCCTCGTCATCCTCATTATCCTCTTCTTCATCATCCCCAGACTTGGCCCCTCCGTCTTCCGCCGCGCTTCTCGGCCCTTGAAAGAAGCTTGCCTGCTGCTGAGCCTGCAAAGCAAGGACAGAGTATTGGTCAAAAGGTTTAAAATCCTTTAAATTGGTACTGGAGGCCTACTTCAGAAGCCTGAATACTAGTCTGGAACACCATCCTGGTCAGCAGATTGAGTGACTGCATTTGCAGCAGGAAGGTTATGCCCCTCTTACTTCTTGCATGCTCCTTTTACTGCTTGTATGCGTAAACAAGCCAAATAACCCCAAGATTTTCAACAATGAGGGTTGGCAAAAGCTGTTCCAAGCAAGAGCTCTCCTTAGAAGGTATGCAAATCAAACCTCAGTTTGTGGTGTTTTAGTGGGGCAACTGAGGCCAGTCCTGATATGCCTCTCCCCACTATCCTCTCCAGAAGCAACCTACGCAGAAGCATCTCTCCACTGCATCTTCTTCCTCTCTTCATCTGCTTTTCAACAGGGCCATATAAAAGAAGGGCGACTTGAAAAAGGCCTAAAAAGGGACCCCGCAAAAGTGACTAACACCACCCCTAGCCATCCTAACACTGTGTTTCATTCTCGCTGCTGCAAGATGGGGTGGCTCCAGACAATACCTCACCTGCGCTTGCGCCCTTCGCTGCTTCTCCCTCAATGCCTCAATTGAGCTCCAGCCCCCATCTGGAGACAGCAAAAACGAAGATTGGAGAACCGACCGAGAATCAAAGAAGGTGCTCCTTATAAGCTGTGGGCATAGGCATGGGTCAGCAGTGCGAAGAATGACGAAGAACACAGCATCCAGCAGCAGAGTTCCTAGAGATTATTATGTGGCTCTCAAAGATACAATGATTGTACTCACAGGACGCCCTTTTTGTAGGATAGGTGGCGGCGCGGACACAAACAAGATGATGCTGAACGGCGAGGGGCTGTGATTGAACATGTATGAGCGAGCGAGTTGTTTTGTCTCCAAAACAACGTCTTTTTCGACCCGCACAAGCGTAAGAAAGGAGTCACAAGAACCGCTCGCAATTGACATTGACGTGTCAAGCAGCCAACAGCTTACCTGTCCCCGGCCTCTGCCTTTCTTTTGCCGCCTGCCTCAACGCTTGCTGCAGCAAGAAGAATCAGTGAGATATCATTGAGGGAAACATATAGCGAGAAGCGGCTTGTTGCAACGGGTTACAAGAGACATCTTAAGGAGAGGTGGTTCCGCCGCTGGAACAGCGCTAAACAAAAAGCTATATGGACACTTGCGTCCCCAAGCAATTGTAAGTCATAAAGAGACTCTGATGGCCAAAGGTGGTCGTACCAGCTCAGAGTCCTCATCATCTGAAGGCATTGTGTTGCCCTGTCCCTGCCGCTCGGAAGCTTTGTACAACAGCTAAACTGATGTTCTCTTTTTCAAAAGCCCGTGCCCAGCAAAAACGTGCTGGTCCTACAAGACACAAATTTCGTCATGGCGTCTTCCTGCAGGCCAGGATTTTATGCAGCCAGAGTTTGAACTTTGCTGCTGCCATGGCTGCTGCGGCTCTGCGGGGCTTTGCTAAACACTTTTGCGCAAGCAAAGGCACACCCGCACATTCTACAGCTGCGGGTTATTAGAGCGCACAGTCCTGAGCGCGCGGCTGCTAATACGTGCCGCGCAACCGCTCCCACTTTCGGCTTACCAGGTTTCCAGCATTCTGCATTCCAGCATTCGATGTCATGCATGAACGTTCTGTACGAAGGGATTCAGATTCAATGGAGGGGCACGAGCTGCTTGCAGCTCAGATCAGGAGTTGTGCAGCAGTGGTGGTTGAGCCAAGTAAATCTTCTGGGCCTAATGTACCAGTCACATATGCTCATGAAGCGTTGCATTGAGCATCGTTTACATAGCAGCATTGCGTGTCGATGGATAGTGAAAGGTTAGGCGAGATGAGGGCGCTGGTCATCTTTGCAAGGCTCCCTGTCCCAGGAAAAGTGAAGACAAGGCTGGCTGCTGGCATTGGCCCCGAGGCAGCAGCCTCCTTCTACAAGGCCATGGCGGAGCAGATTGTTGTCGAAAGCGCAAAGTGAGCGCAACCTCTTAGCACAAGGCAAAGCATGATAGCGAGCTTGAAGTAACTGAAAGCTTCCATTAAAGGAATTTCATTCTGACCAGCAAGTTTTGAGGGTGTCGCTAAGGAATAGTGCATGTAAGCCAGCTGCTGCCGTCGCGAATGTGCTCTGTTTGAGGATCGTTTGTTTTCTCACAGGATACCTTAGAACAATTTGTTAATGTCAGTGTTTGCTTGAGATTGACAAAACAAGAGATACGAAGTCCTTCATGGATATATGGACATTTTAGCAAGATCAATAACATACCACTCATGTTTACTCTCGATTGCGAACTGCCAGCAAGGAAGGTCTTTGTACACTAACAGCTCCGCTGATGATCATGGAACGCTTTCCATTACAACCTTATTTTGCTTCTTCTTCAGATGCAACACAAACATAGTGCGGTATCTCTTCCATTCAGAGCCGAACGACCGAGAAGGGGTCCAGGAATGGATGGCGGCGCTGGGGCAGAAAGACACTCTGAAGCTTCGAGTCCAGGTATGTCTGCCCTGTGATATCCACAGAAGCTCCAGATCCAAGATCGATTAAATTAGGGTGTGGTTGTTGCAAAGCAGAAAGCAGACGGGCTGGCTTTTTGTTCATCACCTCAGTAACATTAGGTTGCTGGTATGGATTTCTGCCTCGGCAGAAATTCCGGCAAAGCACCACATGCACTGCTGTGGGCCCATTGGCTCTGTAGTTTGTAGAGATGGCATGACATCTGGAGGCTAAAGATGAAGGGGCTCCAGGATACTCAACGGCACAGTGCGCATGGGCACCGGTGCTGTTGGAGGAGGGTCAGGTCAACGCCTGGAGCATGTCGTGCCTTCACCCTTGACCCTCTGTGTGCAGTCCACCAAAGGAGATGTCGGAGGCCGCATGCGGGACGCCTTTGAAGAGGTTTTCAAGACCGGCGTTGATCAGGTGCAGTGTTTTCACTTTCCTTCAACCCTTTTCTTGGCAGCATGTTCTAACCTTGACCTTGCCATCACGGTGCGCTTCTTCCGAGCTTTTTCCCGGTTGTGCCTCGTCACGTGCCCCAGACTTGGTCTTCGAATTTGAGAACAAGCTTCTGGTTGAGGGTGGCCTTGGAACTGTCGTCACACCCGCGGCTGATTGAAAGCCATCACTTTTGAAAAGTCGAAACGTTTCCAAAAGGTCGTGACCATCCTAAACAGCACTCAGAACACCATCCAGGCCAGCAGAAAGTGCAGTACGACGTCGCCCTCAAACTCGACCGTTTCTCGACTTCGAATTGCACCCTTGCGCATCCTAGACTCAACACACTGGCCGAGTTCTGCAGAACGCTCGCTCGCAGAAGTTGTGGGGCATAACTCGTTGTTTTCAGGACATTGACCGGAAAGTCGTTCCAGCTTCCAATTTTGTCAGGCCTTTCTCGTGTCAGAGCCGGCTTGCTCACATGATGGATATGCGCCAGAAGCATTGCGTTTCGCGAGGACCCGATTGTGTCACTGGCATCCTTATTAAAATAATCAGTGTAATCGACCGATGGTACAAGCTTACGAACACAGTATAGGCGAGAGAAAAGCGACGATTTTTGCTCGCAGGTGGTGCTGATCGGAACCGACATCCCGGATTTGACGGCGGACGTCATGGAACGGGCTTTTAAAGCGCTCGAAACGGCTGACGTAAGCCACTCCTTCGTCTCACATCCGGGCAAGAGAGACGGGGTTTTGACGGCGTCGTGCCTTTTCTGACGACAACAAGGCCGAGAGATGGGCAATCTTGCATACTGTTTCAGACTGATAGTCATATATCAGGGGTTCGTCGGGCTTATAATGTTTTTGAATCGGAGATCACAGAAGCAACGATGGTCTTGTAGAAGATGCATCTGAGTGAAGGACTCCACTGGTTGTCCACGAAGAGCGGTCGCTTAAGCCTTTCGACTCTTTTGCAACTGTCACGGCCGCCCGCGCAGGGCTGTGAACCTTGAATCGGGGCTCCGAACAGTAAGAGCCCGGACAAGGAGAATAAGTCTTCGCACAATCGGAACCGGGGACACTGTTGGAAAGGTGATGGCGTGGGGCCGCTGAGCTTTCCGCTTGTTAGACCCGTCAGATGTTTGGAGAATCGCATTCGGACGGTTTAAAATGACATTGTGGGTAGAACCTGCACAGGTTGTGCCTCCGACGTGGTTTCCGAGGCAAAGCTTAGAGGCCGTCAGATTTGAGTTTAGGAATGCATCAAGGGCTGAGAGCACCGCCGTCGCACCGACTCCGTCCAACAGCGTCCCCGATTCTGATTGTGCGAAGACTTATTCTCCTTGTCCGGGCTCAGTAAGAATCGTTCAGGTTGCGTGGTCCAGGCGCAACAGTCCTTTTCTTGGATGCTTTCGCTCTGGTCCAATAAGCAATTGAGTGGAACGCACTCACTTTCTCTCCCTAAGCTTCGGTTTCCCTTCACATGCTGACGGCGGCTGTGCTCTGGTTCAGGTCGTACTGGGGCCCGCCGCTGACGGCGGCTACTACCTTATCGGGCTCAAGCGGTTGCACGAAGTCCTTTTTGAGGTGAGGGCTTGAGTAACAACTCCAGCGGTTATAGAACCATTTGCTTGTCCGTTGATACAACGGGGGATTCAAGAACGAACATCAAAAGCGGACCATTGCCGCAAGGCTCAAAGTCATGACTCCGCAACTTTGAGCGACGAGTTTTAAGTTCTGTGAACCCAACTTCTTACCTACCAACGAAACTTAGCCCCCCTCAACGGAGTCGGGATGTCATAGTTTCAAAAATGTATTTGACTTCTGTTGTGTTAGTCAAAACGGGCGTGCTTGTATTGAAATGTGTCTTGTCGTACTTAATCCGTTTGCAGGGGATTCCGTGGAGCTCCTCTGAGACTAGGGCTGCAACCATCGCTGCTGCTGAACGTGCGGGTCTGAGAGTTGCCCCGTCCTCGAGCCTGCCAACTCTCGCAGATATTGACACCCTAGACGACCTAGAGAACTGGTATACATCAGCTCGAACAGAAGTGCACGTGTCACCAACAGGTGTCTGCCGCTTGGCTGCCCAAGTACTGGCAGCTCCCTTAACAAAGAGCTGATGTTCACTTGCGTGCATCTAGTACTGAGACGGAACGGGTAGTTGGATGCTCGCGCGACGTTGACGACTGAATTTAATCTAGGGCCTGGTATCAGCATACGCAAAGTGTCGAATCAGTAGCTCCTCCTGGGAAGCCCAATCGTTTTTCAGTTGCCTCTGCTACTGGAAAGTCCACGTTTCCTGTGCGCTGCCAGCCTGCATACTGCGCCCAATAGTTGTTGTAGATCCCAAGCAGGCCCGCCGAGCGCAGGCTGCCACTGCCAGGTGCTTGACACAAGGCCATGGTTGATTTCAAATTGCTGGCGTGTCGGTGCCGTACTTGTTCTCGTCTGCAGGCGGCACGCTCGCTACTAGCGCGACACATTGCACATAGAGCATTGTCACGACATACCCATCTGTTCTTAAGAACTCATGGGTGAAGGTATAAGCTGGCAATGCATGTCATGCATCCCTGCAGTAACAAGCATGCATGCCATATGGCAAGCTATAGGCGGCTTGAGCTGCAGCTATCCAGTACCCGCGGCAGTGCCATGCGGGTGGGGCAATATGACAAGCTATTTTCGAATGCTACACCACCGCCGCCTTTCAACTTGAGCCGCCTTCGGGGCACGCCTGTACATGACCAGCTCGAAGCCCGGGCATCGCATGTGCTAATGATAACTTAGCACATGCCGTCTCCATTTCGGCGCACGTTATCCTGGTCCGTATTTAAAACACATGATACTTTAGTGCTTATATGCACTGGCACGAGGATGCATCGGGCCGCATGAGGAACTTATCAGTCTCCGCGCGATATCGCAAATGTGGCATGCATCCGGTTACCCCCGCGGCTGCCCCCCCGGCTGCGGCTCCAAGCAACCGCCCCAAACCCGCAGGCCCGGGGACCGTGGCAACCACGTCCACCGGCCCCCCCGCTAGCGCCGGGCCGCCCGCACAGCGCAGAGCGTCATACCCCACGGAGCATATCCTGGTGGTGAAAACGACTCGCCGGGACAGGTTCCTCACTGAGTTCAACACCCACCTCAAGGATCCCCTCCTCGCCGCGGGTTTCGGCCGCCGCACGATCATGGACGTGGTCCAAACCTGGCGCCCGTTCACCAAACGCGGGTACCCAAAACGCACATGGGCGATGAGCTTCGGCTCGGTGGCAGACACGGATGCGGCATGGGCCAAGTACGAGCCCCTTAGGGAGGCAGTTTTCGCCCAGGGACTCCTCATTGAGAAGTGCATGCCCAAGGAGGAGGCGGCGCCGGCGAACGCGGCCGCGCATGTTCGCACCACCACCCAACACACTCAAGCTATTGCAGCGGCGGAGACACTGGCGCCCACCGACAACGCGACCGGCCGTAATCTGACGCCGGACGACTTGCAGGACCTGGCCAGATTCCTCTGCGACCGCCTCATCAAGGGCAAGACCCAGGAGTAGAAATGCTTGTCTAGCATAAACAATTAGCCACGATCATTAGTCATCACGCCAACCGCCGTAGCCGTTTGCATAGCTTACAAAACATACTATACATCCCATCCGTGTGCATGATTTGCTAAGTTGCAGTGTGTTAGTGTGCTGCTTGTTTTCTGTAGTAATAAACATTGGACATGACTTGCAGCCGTAGCAAGCTGCAGAGTCAATTCATTGTACCCCGGTCTCACCGGAGCATTGCCCGATGGCTCAACGTGGCCCAGGGTTTATAAGAACATGTGACCATCAAGCCTGGCCGCCGTCGAGCCTTACACGGTAACCAGATGTTGTCGCAACATAGTATGCGCTCCGCTCATATTGTGCAGGCTTCGCATCAATAATTGCAGCGAAGGTCTCGGCTTGTCTGCGCGGCATGGCCCCTATAACGAGAGCAGATGACAAGAATATTGGCGGAAAAGAATTTCTGATTTGACTTCAGATCCTGACTAAACTCGTTGACTAGTCTACCGGAATTAGTTGGCTAACAGGTGACTCAAGACGAGCCTCATTTACTTGTAAGGATCAATCAAACACGGCACCTGCGTAAGAAAAACTTCACGGCTCCTCTCAACTTGGATTCTACTCTAGCTACACGCGGGCGGCATCAAGAGGTGCTGCCCAAAAGTCAGCATAACTTAGTAATTGACTCAACTCGGGCAAGCTACGCAATCTGGTGCACCCATATCGCGCTGATCTTGGGCGCTTGAGGCACACCCGTCGGGTACACTTGCAGGCTGAGGATTCCCTCGAGACCCACTTGGATGTAATTGGTGACGACCGGGGCCGCAGCGTAGCTTTTATGGCCCGCCTCCTTGAAGGGGTCGTAGCCCAGCACCAACCAGTCGCCGTTGTAGTTCAGGTTGAATGTCCGCTGGCCATCTCCTGTGACCAATCCCGGGCCGCCAGGTGGCTGCGGGCCGTACGAGATCTCGGCGAAGAAGGCGTCCGACTGCAGCAGGACGAACTCGTAAGGCTCCCTTTATGTTCGAAGATTCGCTGGCTCGTACTACAAACTGGGCAGATCAGCGCGGTGGCTTCGGCTTCTCACACGCACAGGGGCAAATTATCAATGCGGAATGAGGGAGAAACACAGGGCAGATCTGTGACAGCCAGCCGTAAGCCATGACCATGTCCACCTACGTCACTTAACGATGCAGCCTTTGAGAATTCAACAGCACAACGGAGTCGAGCAGATGGTAGCAGCTCAGATCCAGAGTGCTCTTACGATAGCCCGCAACAGCCGCACGTCCTTGTTTCGAAAAGGTGATCTGCACAAAAACGCCCATACTCGCAGCTACTTGTTTTTGCTGTTCCAACAATACGTTTTTCGGCAATTCCGACATCAGGCCTTCTTACCTGGTACAGGCCGGGAGGCACGCGGAACTTGTACGTGTTGAACCCAATCCTCTCACAGCGGAAGATTGTCGGGTCGTTCGTCTGGCTGATGGGGAACGTGTCGTTCAGGCAGAAGGCGTACCCGCCCTGAGGCCCCTTGATGTTGGTGCGGCAGTAAGGGGAGTTTGCAGGGACCTGCGTAAGTGCAGAACAGAGTGGTCACGTCACGTGTTTGAATGAAGGTGATGAAGACTCCCGAGTGCTTTATTGCCGCGCTTGAGGAAGCTGAACAAACCGATCTTGGGAGTTCCCTGATCGAAGAAAGCCAAATAAACCAGAGAGGACCAACGCTGGGCCGGGTACCCCAAATCCCAACAAGGTAAACCCGGCCGAAAGCTTCAAGGTCCAGAATCGTTTCTGTACAGAATCGGACGCATTCCAGCTCAGAAGCTCTTTTCATCATACAAAAAAGGGTCTAAGCGTGGCCTTGGCAATCTGCAAAAGTCCACTCGCTGCTCAATCTTTACGCAAACAGAATTCTTACGTTTCTGACCCACGCATGTTCCATTTGCTCAAAAAGCTTGTGGCCATCTGCATCGAAATGCAACTCACCACATTGCCCGGGTCGCACTCCACTGTATCGGCGTGGAACGTCACCCCGAAGGACGAGTTGTAGTCCTTGAAGTCCCCGCACACGACGGCGTAGCTGAACCCGCCCGGGGGAAGAGGGAAGGGCAGCTGAGGGATGGCTTGGGCGGGGCCGGGGGCAGGGGCAGTCAGAGCCGGAAGCTTAGGGAGGCTCGAAACTGCCGAACAGACGTTGAAAGGTTTAGGGTTCGGTTCGTGCTTCTGAGGGATATAGGTTTGGGCTGAGGGCACTCGGCATTGGAAGCTTCATGAACTGCGGCGGGTTAAAATTTGAAACTAGAATGATTAGGGTTTTTTAGGTCTTCGGGTTTGGCTGGATGCAGGGGCAGTTAGGGCCGGCAAATTAGGGAGCTTTGCAGCTGCGGCGATAATCCGGGAGTTAAGAGAGACGTGTGTCAAAAGCGCTGGGCTTCTTGTCCGACAATTTGTGGGAGCTTCCGCTCGTCTCCTTGGCATCGGCGTCCTGTGTCTATCATTTTGCTTCAGATTCTGAAGCAGAAAGGAAAGATCTCTAAGAGAAGGAAAAGATACTGAAACAAACATAGGATGCAAGTGCGGGACTCTTCAACAGCCCCTACTTAGGAGCTTTCGCTTTTTTGATTTTAGGTCAGCTTCCGCTCCTCTCCTTGCCGATTGCATCTTTTGTGACTCGATTCTGGTACAACATCCGCCGCAGATGGAAAGACTACCAAAACAGAAAAAGCCATCTTCTAAGCACAAAACCCGGACCAGGATCCACCAATCAGCCTGACCAGTCGCAGAGGCAATGTCCTGGTCATCTGAATAGAAGGGAAAGATAGGGCTTGGCTACTCCGAACTTCTTCTCGGACCCTCAGCGCCACTCGATGCACATTTCGCGTTTTGCTAGAACCAAGATCAATCACAAAGGGCCATAAGGAAGGACCAGCACAAGCCGGCGCTCATTCTTCGTATGTACCAATCGCACTTGAACGCCCCAGGTGAAAGAACGTGCTGCTTTGTCAGCCTACTTGAAACAACAGCACAGACCGACAAAGTGCAGTACTTGACAGCGTGATACATAAGCCACCTCGCTGAATACAGAATCCCCCCGCTGGACACTTGCCGGGCAGACTCCCATTTGCGTTTCCTGGGCCGATGAACAGCTTGCGGAGAAAGTAAGGGCAGCAAAAGCACGGAGTCCCAAGACAATACTCACCGGTCAGATTCCCTGTTGCGGTAGCAAGGCCCGGGTGGATGAACAGCCCGTTGATGATCGGCTGCCCGACCACCGGCACGAGATCAATCTTCAACGTCCCTGACGTCACCACCACCTCCTTCTGAATCACGAGCGCCGTCCGGTTCCCCCCGCTCTGGTTGAAGATATCCAGGTTTGCAATCGCGAGCGCCCCCTGCAGGTTCACGCTAAAGACCCGCTGTCCGGACCCGACGCCCGGCTCGATCTCCGCGAACTGCAGGTCGACCGCGTACTGGCCGTTCGGGACCGGGATGTTGTACGACACGGGGCCTTGGAGCGCGGTTGCATAGACAAAGTCGTCGATGCCGGTGCCGATGGGGAGGAACACCTGGTAGGGTGGGTACGAGCCGGTCGTGGACTGGGGGTTGAGGGCGACCACCCGGGAGTCGTTGGCGTTGTAGTAGGCGTCCTTCTGCAAGGGGTCAAGGTTTTGGGTTAGGCAGTGGTTACTGAGATCCGGTTTAGTAATAGCGTGGCTCGGAGGACATTCGGGAGTGGATACGTGGTTCAGATTCTGATCCAACAGGTGTTCAGCCGGTCTGATCAGATTGCCGGGCCTTTTAAGGAAACTGCCCTTACTTCGAATCAAGCCTCGCCTTTCTGGTTCACACCTAGGCAAGTTCTTGCGAGGAGCACATTCACTGGTGCTGAAAAAACAAGTAGAATCGTGCCTCTGGTGTAGTGCGGCTTCTAGATCACCGACGTGGACACCAGCTGTGTGTTAAATGCAAAGCGGACCCTATTACCATGCCGACGCCCTGTTTTGAAGCTTCCGTCCTCTGTGTTCTGCATGCAAGCGTGTCAGCATGTATTCTGTGATGATGAAAAGGCCTGCATGTGAGCCGAGTCTCAATTCAGTCTCGCAACCAAGAGCTCACCTTGTAAACTATTCCGAGGCCGCTAAGGACATCCATGATTGACCCCGAATCAATCCCCAGTGAGAAGTTGCCCGTGGCGTTCGTGTTGGGGTAGCATTTGATCCCCGACACAGTGGCGTTGGACTTCAGGCTCCCGAACAGCACGTCCCCCACAAACTCCAGCTTCAGCAGGCCGTTCGTTACCGTGACCGGCTGCTTAACCACCAGCGGCACATTGTAACCGACCGTCGCGACCAAGTCTAACTGCATGACTGCGGGCACGTGGTTAATCTTAACCGTGAAGATCCGCTGCGAAGGCTTGGAGAAGACAAACTCGCAGAGGTGGAGCTCGACGACGTACTCCCCATTGGGAACGTTGATGAGATACTGAAAGTCGTTTTCGGTTCTGCCGGTCAAGTAGAGCTGCGCATCGGGGCCCTTGTAGGTTACAGGCACCGGGTACAGCTGCTGAATCTCAACGGTGTTGTTGTCTGGGGTTGTGTTGGCGGCCAGGGTGTTATTGTCGGGGAGGGTGTTGTTCCGCACAACTGCCACGGTTGCGTTGGGAACGGCTGCGGCGGTTGCGTTGAGGAGGGTGGCATTTGCCGGGCGGGGGAGCGTGGCATTTGCCGCGGTTGTGTTCACTTGAAGGAGGTTCCTGCCGACCCGCGAAGTGATGTTTGCAGGGGCCGTCGCGGTGTTGTTGATGAACTGGAGGACTGTGATGGGGCCAGCATCGGTGGTGAAGAACTTGTCCCCCTCCCAGACAGACCCGTCCGCAGCTCTATACTCGCCCCCCCCGCAGTTGATGCTCCGCGCAGTTGGAGGTGGGGGAAGAGCGGTGAACTGGTCGTTGTCGTACACGCGGATGCCTCTGATAGACGGCTCATAGATCCGCGGCACGAGTGTGACCAGGAGCAGGCCGTTTGTGACTGTCACGTTCTGAGTGGTGGCAGTGACTGCCTTGTTCTTGGCGCCAGCCCAGGCAAAGGGGTCAAAGTAGGAGTAGGCCACCTTGCCCTGGTAGAGAATGTCGAACACCCTCTGGTTCGAGCCAGAGTACAAACTCTCCGCAGCAAGAAAGTCGACCGTGTAGATGCCGTTGGGGAGGTTGATGGCATATGCGAGATCCTGTGCCAGAGAGATAAACATCAGCAACTAGTGGAGGGGAGTTTTGATCAAATCTTGAACATGTTCTTGTAATGCTGGCACCGCCTTGATTCACTCAAGGGAACACCAAATGACTATGTTTGGCCTTTTCAAACTGCTTACCTGTATCAGTCTCTGAGCTTTGCTGTCACATGAGTAGACTCTTAACGGTCAGACTTGACGCAAGCATACTCTTATTTATCGAGCAGGTTGTTACATCCAGCGAGATGGACATATGCAGGGCAAAAAAAGCTTCGGGCGGAATTCAGCGGTATAAAGGAATCAGAAGCACGTCAGCTCAATGTCGACCACAGTAGTTTTGACACAATAAGTGGTTATAGACTGGTAAACCACAGTTGTTACATGCAAAAAGCGATGGCTGACTTTGTATGCAGCATAGACATGGTCAGAGCTGCCTGAACAAGGACTAGGTCAAGCAGAAGTCGCATACTCTTGGTTTTGCACCACCGGATGAAATGTCACTGCAGACTTTTGGAAAAGCTGGCTTTATCTTAATCCCTAACCGGATGACACCACAGCTTTTGAGATGGTGTTGGCAAACATAGAGTGGACAACTTGAGGCATAGTTCAAGGGTTGACTTGCCATTGCGGCAGTGCAAGGTGGCATCCGGTAGAAAGACTCAACAACCAACTGTGCTCCTGTGATTAGCCAGCAGTTGATTTTGTCCAAATAATACGTCATCTAGACCTCCAAGAGCGCAACATTGCATAAAGCAACTACCTTTCTCCAGACTTTGTCAATTGCTCCAACGTCGATTCACCAGAACCAAAACAACAGCAGGTCAATCTTGTCTGTACTGACACGACAAGATGCCACTTACCAGACCATAACGCTCTGTGATAAAGATGTAGTCGTCACCATTGTAGGCATTCGTCTGCAGAAAGAAAAGACAACAGTGATGAAATCAGATCTTGGACTTTGGCATACCACACTGAGGAGCTATAGAAGATTTGCAGAAACACTCTCAATTATACTTGTAATGTATGAACGTCAGCATGCTAGCTTGGAGCCAAGTATTGAGCAAGTCCGGAAATGGTCAAAAATAAAAGCCAAGAGAGAGGGCTACTCACAACGTTGATGTTAGTGGTGTCATTAAGTGTGCCATGCCCTATGTTCCAGTCTGTAACATGGTTGCTGCTTCCGTAATAGTAGCGATCTGTGACAAATGTTGTCGGCGGATTTGTCTTCTGATTCTTGTTCACCCAGACAAACTGGTTATTAGGGTCATAGATGGGACCTGGACCGTAGCTGACGCCATCGTAGTAGATAGGAAGACTTGGTTCCGCTGTTGTGTTTCCCCCACAATTGATCGCAACATAGACAGCAGACACAGACTGGACAAGGAAGAATGCTGCGCATAGACAAGCCGCTGCATTCAGAGACCGCGCCATCCCTGCTGCTGGACGTCCACAGCAGACACGGGCAATGCTGCCTCTTGCCACCACTCAAGGACGGCAGTTCAGCTCCCTACCACAGATTTCACTCTGGCCAATCTCAGATCTGTGCCATTGAAACTCAGCTCAAGCCCCGGAGTCAGACTCAGAGTCAGCGTCAGGGACGCTGCACAGATCCAGAGCGAGACGAGGAGTCGGCTCAAGCCGGAATCTGCACAAAATTTTGCCCTCTGGCTTTGAGCAGCAGGGGCCAGGGCGGCATTAAAAAGTTTGAAATTGTCGGCTCAAAGCCGGGTACTCCGGATTCCAGTCGGCTTATCAAGCTTTCACACCTATCCCTCCCCGGCTTCAACCCTGCAGCCTCAAATTATGGGCCGGCTTTAGCCGGGTACTTTTCATTTCAGTCGGCTTTTCAAAATATTGTACGGCCCCCCGCTCATTTGTTCGCCGACCCCGGCAGTCCAGACTCCACATGATACCTATCGACATTGGCACCAGAGAGGAACGTCCCTAGCGAGTCTTCGGTCACAAGCATGACCGGTGTCAACGGGGAGTCCAGGGTGATCTGGATCACTCTGTGCTGGCACTTTTGCAGGTTTAAGGTAGAAGTATGGCATTCAACCGCCTGCAGAACCCTAGGTCACGTTTTGGGTCACGAAAGGCCCCAATCTTAACCAAATCGAGTCGAGTGTTTTGCATTGGGTTCGAGGCCCCAAGGGGGTCCTAGGACCCGGGTCTCGAGGTGTCTGGACCCCTCGAGCCACCCGCACCACCCGGGGAATCTTGGCTCTCTCAGAACTGGGGGGGGTCACATTCTATTTTTCGTAGCTCTCATATGGCTGTACAAACGATGGCGGAAAGGGGCTTGGACGACCTCGGCCCATGCAGGGATATCACACATTTTCGGTGGGGAGGAACTGTAGTTGAAAATTGAGGTTTCCAATCACCCGTCTGTAAGAAACCCCTGACTTTTGCAGTTTTGGGGGGTTTCTTACCGACGGGTGACTGGAAACCTCAATTTTCAACTACAGTTCCTCCCCACCGAAAATGTGCGATATCCCTGCATGGGCCGAGGTCGTCCAAGCCCCTTTCCGCCATCGTTTGTACAGCCATAT